GAGCGGTAGTATAGGGTAAAGACCCTATATGCTACCGCTCGTAGATAGGAATAGAGGGGATCGCCACTATTTATGCTGCAGAGCTGCGGGCTATTAATATAGCATTGTTAGTCGCTCATCAGTCGATCGAGTCAACAAACTAGTCAACAAACTAGTCAACAAACTAGTCAACAAACTAGTCAACAAACTAGTCAACAAACAACACACTCAAAAAGGTGGTCATCTTCTCCGACTCCCAAGCTGCACTGCAGGCCCTTATGCGACCAAGGATGCCTTCCGGTCAAGCTTACTTGATCTCAGCGATCCAGCATCTCCAGGCTCTGGAAGGCAGAGTCACTGTAGAACTCCGCTGGATCCCTGCGCATGAAGGTATCCCTGGCAACGAGCTTGCCGACAAGACAGCGAAAGAAGCAGCCCTCTCCGATTCCACGCCCGGCAACGACCACCCTGACCACCAAAACAACCGATATCTCATCCTCGCATCAGCAATCAAACGACGCATTCGACAACGAGCAAAACAGGCGTGGGAAGCCGCGTAGTGGAAGGAGAAGGGCGCAAGGTCGACGAAGCGGCTTGTGGAAGCGCCAGGCAAGAATCTGGACTACTAGCAAGGTCTGCGGAAAGCAACATCGTCAGTGCTGATTCAATTGAGAACAGGCAAGATCGGGCTGTTAAGCTATCTTGCAAAAATCAACGCACGAGACTCACTAAGATGCGGATACGGTTTGGGCAACCAAACAGTAGCGTATATACTGCTTGAATGCCCGGAGTTGCAAGAGATACGCATAACGCTAAGAAGCTCCTTAGCTGAAGTAGGTGTCTCGATATAGCTCGGCACTGACGAGCTTCTTCGCTAGCTTCCCGCAAGGCTATATCTAGCACAGTTTATGATTTCGTTAGGCATGCTTGATCAATTCAAGCATCTTGATCCCGCAGTATTCGGCATAGAGCCGGAGCTAGAGACTGAGGAATCTTGATTCCCGGTCGCGCATTCAACAAATTAAACATAAGCCACTAGGCAGTGGTCCTGTAGGACCGATAGGGCACAAAACCAAGGGCGAGCTGCTAGGAACTCGACTTGCCCTCTTGATTGAGACTGACGAGCAGAAACGGTGATAGCCGCGTATGAGAAGTGGTGGAAGTGGGAATATGGGAGCAGGGGTAGGAGAGCAGCGTGAAATCGAGATCTGGTGATTCGGATCTGCTAATAGCAATGACAACTGGCAACCTGATGATTCAGAACTCGGTGACACGAGTTGCTAGGGATGTGGGAGCGAGGAAGGGAGTAGAATGTGTATAGGGCTAGTGCATGTGGGATGTGGGAGCTATGATGCGGGAGTTGGTGATGCGGGATGCGGAGATCGGGCGGTGAGATTCTGCTACCACATGACCTTATCATCAATCTGCAGATAAGGCCGGCGGTGTGGTTCTGCCATATCATCACTCTGCAAGATAAGGCCGGCAGTTTCTCCGCCCGCATGTAGGATGTTGATGCTGGATGTTGTATGTTGGAAGCTGCTCAACACGTTGACAGCTGTCTTGCTGAGGCCATGGTGCATGGCAGGTGCACTCGGCTCCGCCGGGACACGCGGGATGCCGCGGAGGCGGATCCCTTCTTTCGTTTATTTTTCCTTTGTCATTCGATCTCATCTGTTCGTTCCAGCGTTTGCTGGCCCTTGCCTCGATGGCACCTTCTCATGCGCACTAGGCTGGCACTAGAAGGCGCAAATCCCTGCATAGCGCCTTGTATATAGAGGAAGCTCTATCAGGAATAAGATTATTGATTGATTGATTGATTCTATAGAAAGTCTAGATATTAAAGGCGCTAGAAGCTAGTTAGTAAAAGCTTAATAAATACTACTCTAAGATAGATAGTACCTATAGCTATCTCTACGCGATAAGTATAATACTTACCCTAGATAATAAATTCTAGTTCTTCCTAACTAATAACTAGGATAAAAAATAGCGAGATTGTCATATGATATTGCAACATGAAGCTATTCCCAACTTCACGCCTCAGGTGTCAACTCGACACCTTATCGGTCAGGCTTCGTCATGACAGCCCCACTCCTCCCCAACAAGGATACATGACCTACAAGACCCTAAGGGTTCGGTGCCCTTCCATTAGGGATTCGTGAACCCCTCTTCCCTGTAGCCTTTGCTTATCTCTGACACATAGGGGCTACGTCAGACCGTATATTATAATGTGATCTATCGTCTTTGCTTGGTTATGTAGGAAAAGTGTTGAAGCTTGTACATAAATTGAGGATTATGGAGAGATCCAGGATAGCAAGAAACAGTGTTTAGCTTTCCTTACTTGACGTTTATCTTCCTACCTAGTCGACAGGCTTTCTACCCTGTACAAGTAGTTATTCTCTAACACTTTTATATATAAGTATTTCTAAGTTTAACTATAGTTAGAAAATTATAAATAGTAGGATAGAGAGATATATATATCTCTCTTAATAGTAGTTATAAATATAATAAATATACCTACTTTAACTAGGATAGAATATTTCTTACTATATAAGCTTAAGATTAATTAAATTTTAAAATAGTTTATAAAGATTTTAACTTAATTCCTTCGATTTAAACTATAATCTTGATTATAATACTAAAATAGCTATAAATAATAATATTTAACTAAGATTATTTAGCAAAATTATATATCCTAATTAGGAAAAGCGTCTAAATTTTATAAAAATAAGGGTCGCTAAGGGTCGCTAAGGGTAACCCGTATAAGGGTAGGCGAGGGTCGCGGGTCGGGTAACCCTTATAAGGTTTAGACCCGACCCTCGCGAGGGTCGTGCCGAGGTCTAATCCTATCCTAACGATAGGATAGGACCTATCCCGTCGATAGGATAGGATTCCTATCGATATAATAGGAAGGACTAGATATATAAGGACACTTATTCACCTACCTATATTTAGTTCTTCGCGTTAATTTACATATTGTTACTTACAGTTACACTTAAGCTTAAACAATCGACTATCTTTAGTAACGTGATAACTAGACATCTTCAGGGCCCACGAAAGCCCAAACCCGACCACGGCCCGACCCACGCGTGGGCCGGGTTTTGGGCCTGGTCCTTAGGCCCATAGTGGGCTGTGGGCTTAGCCTTTCGGCCCATAGTGGGCCTATGGGCTTTTCGTGGGCTCTAGAAAAAGCAAATATAGTATTATATCGTGACTACATAAAATATATAGTATGTAATTCTGATAAGTAAGCTATTTTATGAACGCTAAGACCTTGATTTTATGCAAAGATGGGCTTTGTCGGGGGCCTATTAGGGGCCCGACGTGGGCCTAGTGGTCGGGCTTGGGCCTAAGGTTTAGGCCCAAAGCCCACGTCGGGCTGGGCTTTGGGCCCGACCTTGGGCCCGCTGGTGGGCTTTGAAGATGTCTAGTGATAACCTCACGGTACGATATAAGGATATACACTATAACTAGGAGGAACACTTAGTAGTTATTATATAACTACTTCGTTGACTGACTAGGCGCCCTTCAACTATATACGTCTTCGGTCTACTCTATAGATCCGAGCCCGTGTAAGGCTAGAGTAGGCAACAGTACGATTGCGAGATAGATCGTCGGAGATTACGAGAGAGGTATGTTACGATAACGCATATTTTACGTTAACCAGTTAGCAGCGCGTAACACCAAAGCCTAACCCATTCGTGGGTTGGGTTAGGTTGGGCTCGGGCCCGTGTGGGCTTTGGCGATGTCTAGACCTCTGGATAGCGAGATATCGCAAGAATTCGATTCTGCTAAGAGATAGTTGTTTTTTTTAAAAAAAAGAAGCTTAATTAGCTAGCTAGAAAGGATCAAGTCTTATTTACCTCTTCATCTGAACAGCTTCCGGCTTAAAAACCGTGATTACCTTCTCGTCTCTTTCCTATTTAGGAAAACCCCTTGTTATATATCCTGACTTCGGAGCTTCCTTCTTCCATCCCGGAGGATAGATAGGCCGCTAGAGCACGTGATTACTAGGCCTAATTACTCTAACAGGTAGTTACACAAGAGTCTCAGACTGCATATCTCACTTGAAAGCCTGTGTTACCCTTTTTCAGGATTTTTCTCAAACCCCTTGCTTTACTTGTTCTAGGAGTCTTATTACCGAATCCTAGGAATGGATCTACAGTTTTGCAAATATTTATAAGAGCCAGAAATATCTCTGGATATTCAACACAATTCCTAAGTACGATCAAAGCAGTCACATCCAAGATTTTAACTATTTCAACAATTTCAACATGAAATTCCCACAATATACATTATTTTCTCTTCTTGCTATCGTTGCAGTGGCAGTTGCCTGCAGTGGTATGGAATATGGTTTTCATTCTTGTGCCAATTATCTAAAATGTTTTTAGGCTACAATGTTGCCTGTAATGACGATTGTTGCGACGGATACTTCTGTGGTGACGATACGTGTGTTCCTTACTAAGACCACACTTTGTTAAGGATTTAATATCGAGGTCCTCTATAGTACGTGAAAATTCGTTCTGGATACTAGATGAGACATGCTTATCATTTTGTTAGTAATAGGGGGTTGTAGAAGTACTGGAAAATATAGGTGCTCGAACAAACCTAGCCGTGAGCAACTTTAATAATATTCAAGAAGCTGTCTAAGTTCTTCTCTAAGTAAAAATGCGAGATTGAATATGAATGTGAAAGAACTAAATATATAATGTGACGAATAATAAGCCTATTGTGGAAATCAGGGAGGATCTGATTTCTAGAAGGAGCCTGGCTATTGCCTACTCTAGCCTTACACGGGCTTAGATCTATAGAGTAGACTGAAGAAGTATATAGTTAAAGGGCGCCTAGTTAGTTAATAGAGTATTTATATAATAACTACTAAGTATTCCTCCTAGTTATAGGGTGTATCCTTATATTATACTATAGAAGTATCTAAGTTACTAAATAGAACAACATTCTTTATGAGACTTGAGAAATAGCATATCACACATTGAAGTTGCACTTTGTCGTCAAATTGAGCCTATTCAAACAACCTCCACCATCTCTACACTCTCGCCCTTCTCGTGCATAACTTCCTCCTCATAATCAACAATCTGTCCATTCACAGCACCAAACAACTGATCCATTTGATCCATCCGCAATCCCTTGGTCTCGTGAATAAAGAAAAAGGCGTAGATAATCGCGCAGAACAGCATGGTTCCAAAAAGAAGTATACACCAAAGCCGCTCTTGCCCATGTTATCGAACATATACGGGTTGACTTTGGTGACAACAAAAGACCAAAGCTAGACGCACATTCCAGCAAAAGGACCACTCACACTGCGAAGGCTGGGAGTGAAAATTTTAGAAGCAATAATGAGTGGCAATCCGTTCGCGCCAAATGACCATGAAAATCCGTAAATCATGATTGCGGCCGCTGCGCCCTTGCCAGCAGCGTCTTGCGATAGAGTCTGTGGGTTGGCAGATTCTGGATTCATAATGTCGATGTATGCTCCAAGATAGTACATGCAAGTACCACAGCCAATGCAGGAGATAATCCAAGGCCATTTTCGCCCCGCTGCCTCGATGAAGAAAATGAAGTAAATTATGGAAGAGACCGATTTGATGACTCCATAAACACCGGTCCAGAGGGTCGTGTTCTCCAATCCAATAGAGCGGAAAATGGTGGGCGAGTAGTAATTGATCGCGACTGCACCACCCCAAGCTTGGAAGATAGTCATCATAATCACAAGACCAAAACGGTTGCGAACACCCTTCATCTTTGCCTCCTTGAATGCGGCTCCAAGGTACTGCCAGAGAGTATGGCTTTCACCTTCGGATGTAAGGGCGCGCTCAATTTCCAGCTGGGCCTTCACGAATCCAACATCTTCCTGGGTGTAGTGATGATCGACAGGGAGGTTGCGAAGGTAGGCAAAACTTTTAATCGCTTCCTCCTCTCTGCCTTTTTTCAAGAGCCAGGTTGGCGACTCCTTCAGAAAAGGGAAGGAAATGGGCAACAAAGCCAGCGGGGATAAGCTGGATGGCCATGGGAATTCGCCACGCAATCGTCTTTTCGGTATCATTGTGTGCCTTGATTCCAAAGTTGATCCAGAATCCAACTAATCTGGTAGAAGGCCTCAAACAGACCCGTCATGCGACCACGGACTGCTGGAGGGGACAACTCAGAGATATAGTTCGGCACAACAGACACGAAGCCACCGACACCGAAACCAGAAAATACACGACCAGCATACAGAGCGCCGAGGTTTCCATTGGCGGCGGTGCACATAACGGCACCTAGAATGGCGAAACCATCCGCAATGAGGAGACTGACGCGTCGTCCAAAGACTTCAAAAACGAAGAACATGAAGAGACTACCGAAGAAGGCTCCAACAGAAAAGACACTAGTGAGGTTTCCTGTCGTGTCACTTTTCTTCCCTGATGACATTTTATCCAACCCAAAATCGCGTGTAAAGCTCGGGATCTCCAAAGTCGTTCCGATAAAGGATGTATCGTATCCGAACATGAGCAGACTCATCGAGATCGCCATAACGGTAAAGTACAGTCGCTTATTATACTATTCAACGAGACATTCAATTAGAAAGCTGACCTTTGTAGCCGTAGAGCCCGGGAATGTCTTTGGGGTTGAAAAATGAACATACCACTTCCGGAGGCGTAGGCCGGTCCTCCTTCGCGCGCATGAATTTTTCCAACATCCTGGGTAAGTGTCGCACGCGCAATGATGATGAAAGCTATGTGTTTCGTCTAGCGTTTCGTCTAGCTGGAGCTTTTGAGCTTCTGTGGAAGAGGCCGATAGCGAAAGCTGTGACTGTCGGCGACAGTTAGGAAAGAGTTTGAACTTGAAGATCAAGACATCGCTATATATACATGTGTCCAGCCGGGATACCAAGGTGAACGATTTAAATTGACTCACAGTTGATTGGCGTACAAGCTCTCAGATGCTCGCTTAGACAGCTCATGTCGGGAGTTGACATCTGGTAGCTGGAAGGTCCCCACGGCAAAACCTGGGGCTCCGCCATCACTAGCAGTGTCTCCGCACACCCACACTCAAATTTCCACTTTTTCCTATTTCCCCTATCTACTACTGCATACCACTAGTATCTATAAAGAAACCCTGCCCGTTCTGACGTGCTTCCTCTGCTCTATCTAACAATGCCTGGGATTCCTGTGTAGGTTCTGGTGGTGGTGATGTTCTATACGCTTTCTTCCACTGCTTCCGCACCCGCTTCCGCTCTGCCTCTGCTTCCTTCTTATTTCTTTTAGTAATAGAACGATTTGCATCTCTAATAGAGAGTACCCCTGTTTTGCTAAGCGGCGTTTTAACCTAGCGCTTAGTGATTAGGCGCTGTAGTAGTTGTTGAGCTTCCCTAATCTTGCGAATAGTATCGTTCGCTAGATTTAGGTTCTCTATAGTAATCTTGTTATAATGAAATAACCGGTCAAGATTGCGTTGCTGCCTAGGTATAAGATCTTCTTGTTAATATCTAGCAATCTTCCTTTGATTCTTCTCTAGATCCTATATAGATCTAGGCGGCGATTTATCGATACTAGAAGAAGATATAGGTAGTAGTAAAGTTGTTATATAAAGCGTTAAATAAAGCGGTTATAGATCTAGCGCTATAAGACCTAGGTAATCTTGGATAGGAAGGCTATTAATAACCTTTCTACTATCGACTAGATATATCCTACGATCTTTAAACGATTCACGAATAATTCGCTAGCTAAACGCTCTATTCCGAATATTACCGATTATTCGAAGGAACTCTAATCTTCCGATAGGGCTTCTACCCTAAAACGCGTAGTAGTTATTCGCTAAGCGGAAGTATTGCTTATAGCTTAGAAATAGCTTACCGTCTAGCGGCTAGTAAAGATATATAGTATATAGTAGGAATCCTATAGGTAGGATATTATTCTCTTCGTAAAGGTATAGGAATTCGAATATAAGATACGAACCGTGACCGTCGAATATTAGGATACGTTTTTCACCTGATTTCGTACGGTCGTATATTAATTCTATAAAGAATCAAAGCTATTGAACTACTATACTATCAGTTATCTAACCGTTTAGCGATATAGTAATAGTAGTTCTTAGTAGTAGGTTCTCTGTTTGATTAAACCAAGATTCTATAAAGATACTGTTGCCTTTAAAGATGAACCAGGGTTCTATCTGCTACCCGTCGGCAGCTATACACTCGATAGACGTAATATTTTCGCCTTGGTCTGGCTGAGGAAGGTCTACTATCCTAGTAGTAGTAGTAGTAGTAGTAGTAGTAGTAGTAGTAGTAGATATAACGTTTCTAGACCTTCCTTCGCCTGGTTGAAAGCCGTAATTATCAAAGTTATAGACTAGACGTGCAGGCGTAGTCTTCTTGATTGTTTAGGCTAGTAGATTATACCAGTGCTGTAATACTGCTTAGTAGGCCCTAATTGAAGATGTTTAGGAAGCCTATTAATAAAGCGATACGCCTACATCTTGCTAACCGACGGCTTCCCGACGCGTTAGCATGCACGATTCGCCCACGCTTCTAGTATCCTAGGAGTGATAGGCATATAGCAATCGTTCATATATTGAATCCAGCGAACTACGGCTTCTTCTTGATAGGGTTCTAGAGCGCGTTTACTAGCATTCTTGCTAATATTAGGGCTTGCTCCTTTTTTGATTCGATTCGAAAGCGTACGCCTAGGCACGCCGAATTCGCGTGCTAAACGCGCTATATTCGGCTTCTCCTCTCGGGATGCAGCTAGGCAGGCCTCAGCCATACGAGATTCATCAAATTTAGGCATATTTAGATGGTGGTGTTGGATAGGGAAGCAAAAAAATAGGGAAATAGGTAAAAGTGGAAATTGGAGTGTGGGTGGTAATCTGAGTGTGGCACACCCACAACGCGAAGCGGTGTGGGTGTGCGGAGACACTGCTAGTAGGGACTATAGGGGCCTCTAGTGAACCGGGTTAGACCGTAGACTATATCTACTGAACCCGGGCCTAAGGGCATACCCCTCGAGAGGGGAGGATAGTTGTTAGGGAAACACTATCGTGCGCTACTATATCTAGGTCCTAGGCTGTCAATATTCAAACATATTGATATTGTGGTCTTTTTGGCTCAACATAGGAAGCACGTGCCTAGGTGTGTTCCCTAAAAGATATTTATTTAGATAGAGAGGTCTTCTCTAGAGTAACCCCTACACTGGAATATCTCCCTTTTTTGGAGTATCTACTTGCAAAGTAGAATGCCTATTGATCAGGTATGAAGATGAAATACTAAATAGGATTGCTCAAAGACTGTTTCTTGCCTGTTTAAACAATCCAAGTTCTATAGCTTACGTACTCGTGTTCGCCAGCCATTCGGTGTTGATTTGAATTCAAAGAATAGATCATATTCTGACATACGTATGTGGTCATCCAGCCAGGGTGCCTCCCCAACATAACGTGGGTAAGGGGCAGGCAATATGCAGGCATAATAGGAACGGTCAAGGTCCTATCTACACAAATAATGACCAATATCTAAGGCACCAAAGCGGGAATAACCTCATATGTCGTGATCCTGGGATAGTCTGCACCACTTCAGGTAATAATTCCTAAGATTCTACTACTTCTCCCGATACTAGCCCTTGAACGCTGTACTATCACCCGTAAGCCCTATCTGAACGACGTTCCCCAATGCCCTAGTGCCTATATTGCCATAGTACCATCACAGAGTGTATGATTCATTTCACAATATGTTCCTTGAAAAGGGTCTCGTAGTAGTCTCGCGTCACACCGTTACAAAAGCCAAGACTTTACAGTATCCAAATCATCTGATGCAGCATCTTCGATATCCGATCCAACGTCTTTAAAATCCGACCCCAAATCCGAGAAGAATGAAGTGCATGATTTCCAAGCATCTTTCACAGCATCTTTAGCCTTTTTCTTTTTCGAGTTCACTTTCTTTTTGAAGCTTTCATAGTCCCTATAATACTGAACAGCAGTCCCTGCGCAATCTGCATTGAACAGAAAGCACTTAATGTTGGCCCCTTTATTAAGAAATTTACCATCCCGAGATAGTGAATCTTTAGGATGATGTCTTTCATATTCAGTCACATTCGTCCAAACATAGTTCACAGAAATTCGAGCATCTGTGATGTTTGCTTGTACATCATCCGACAGCTCGTGATAATACTCCTGATACGCAGTTCCCGCACAACTCGAATCATTAATTTGCAGGAAGCACTCAGAGTTGAGCGTTGCATTAAGAAACACACTCCGCGGAAGTAAGGAGAAGTCAGGAGTAGGCACAGCCAACGCCGTAGGTATAGTAGGAGCAAGAAGTAATAACTTCCTCCAAAACAGCATTTCTCTCGTGGGTATCTGATTAGGAATAGAAGGATCGTAGGGACTGCTCGACGCTGAGCTTCTAGAGATTCAGATCGAGAGGATCGTCAAGACGTTAAGTTGAAACACAGGCACTTGATATTCAAGGATTATGAGTGATCGATCTAGCCTGGATCACCAAATTTGGGAGCGAGAATCAAGTATAAAATATCATATACTGTGAAGTTCCATGAATGGAAATATAACGCGGATGGAAAATGCCTTCTTTTAACGCCTTTTGTTGTGGAGGGACACTGATGGGATGAAAATACCAGTTTCAGAAATATAAAACTACGTCTAAAAAAAGGTATTAGTCGCAAGGAGAGTGGGGTCAATAAGGGCGCTTGTCCGTTGAAGACACTGACGCGGTTCAGTACGCTGTGCGGCCGAAAGAGTATGTGGAGTGGAGCGCCAACATCCCCCACGAATACGTGAGTGGCCGAGGACTGCCAAGGCGGCCACTTCGCAGCCTGAAACAACTGAGATAGCGTCAGCGCGAGATGAGACAGTCAGAAGGACATGGTGCCAGGTAAGCGCTGAAATACTAAAATAGCAGCTATTACATTGATGCTAATATATTGAGCGATCGGGTCTTATAAGAGTTGGAGAGCGTAGCTCTTCGTACTTGATACGCAAATGAAAAAATGCAAACCGTGGAACTATTCGCCCTTTACGCCTCCATCCTCGCTCTGTCGTTATAAATCCTCGCGTATATCTATCAGGACAGAATCATGTGGTCGTATCCACCGCATCGCGGATGCTCGCATCCTAGATGATTTCACCCATGTTCTCCGGCGCCGCTGTATCGACCAGATTTCCATCGCTACCGCTCTGCCCACCCTGCGACGTAGCCAACACGGTGTTGGCGCCTTGTCTTCATACGCTGGTGCAGATAGTTCACTAGTGTTTCCGTTTCCTGATACAAAACGGGGGCGATGCAAGTAAGATACCTGAATATAAATTTTAATGATGATCTACTGTCCTATTCCGCGCCTTTCGTTCGGGCGCCCTGTAACGAAGCCTCCGGTCGACTGTAGAGACCTAGTCGGCTATTCCACGCTACTATGTGGGCACCCAGTGGGTCCGTAGCAATAGTGATCTGGCCGGCACTGTAGAGTACATTTTGTTAATATAGTATTGTAATTTCTTGTAAAGGTGGAATCGATTCGAATCCGATATTCAATTTGAACCATCTGGGTGTGCAGGCTGGGAGTGTTGAATATCCCCGACCTCGTTGACTAGCGTGTTACAATGCTAGTTCTGAATATACCTGGAATACCATACAAAAGCCTTCAGGGAATCCAATATCCCTGTAATAAACTGACGGATATAAAGATATTCGAGTCTCCACACGATTATGCAGCTTCTTCTTGTTGACAGATAAAAATAAAATCTGTACAAATTATACAAATTATACAAGTGGCGAGTTCCTTCTATTTAATTAGATTAACTACCCGACGGTTAGAGGGTTACCCACGGGCTATGCTGAGGCCCAAATGCTACCGATTACTAGATTGCTAGATTGCTAGCTTACTATAAATGGTTCAGTGGATATTTGAAATTGCCGACAGAACATAGTAGCGAAGTCACTCTGTCGGATTCATTTTGGGGGACCCCTTTTTCTAAGAGTACTACATTTATGGTAGTGGCTAATCGAGTAAGCAGAGAGATGAATAAATCAGAACAAAATTTTTTGTTTGCAAAAAATACAAAATAAGTTATCAAAAGTCAGAAACTAAGTCTTAGATATTCAGCTCAAATACAATTTTGCTTTCCTTTGTTATATTGTAAAAGGTTAATCATAAATAATGACATTTGAAATAATAATAGTTATGAGACTTAGATAGGTTTCTGATCTGAAGCAATCACAATATCGTCATTGTTCTCTGTTATCACAAAATATACATATATAGTCTGTGTGACGGTTAGGGTGTATGTAGAAAGCGCCATAATTCTTCATATTTGCCTGAGTACGAGGCTCACCTTACCACTCATTGGTTGTGTGATCTTTAAGACAGAATAAATTCATAACAAATGGCAGTGCACGGCTTAGAATACTAGTAAAGAATGTGATTAGGCGCAGAGCTTTGTAAATATAGATGCTGGTATGGAAATGCCATAGTCGTTTCCTCTGTAGGTAAGCGTGGATAGCGATCACTAATGATATTGCCATTACTGCTCTATGCTAGAGCATGCGCACCAACATTATGTATCGACAAAGATGATTCTGGCGGTATGACAGGCTATATATATACCTATGTTTTGATAATGATGACTGAACAAGTAAATCAGGAAATAATTATTGATATATGTGTATTTATACCATCCAAAGTCATTTATGGTTTAAGATAGATTTTATCAATCTATGGTTATGTTTGGCAGTGCGAACAGGTTTATTCACCACAAGAACTCTGTAAATCAAGATTTGTGCTACGGGGTAAGGGAATTGGGAGAGCCTACTATTGTTTCCCTTCAAACCATTCGTAAGAGTGCACATCCTCGGTAGTCTTGAGATACGACTCAAGAATTTGCACAAATCTATACCTATGATCTGGCAGCATATATAACCAATAGTGCCATAAGTAAAAATATATATGACAACGACCAAATAGGACATGCGTCAACAAGTTCTTCTGCTACAGATAGCGAAATATGAGCTTTTCTCCACGTTTCATGCGCCATGCATTAGTCGCGATCATAAGCTCCGTACAGCCTCTCACGACCCATTGCCATTTTTTCAAGAAAGCCTCCGTCATCTCCCAGTTTCTCACATCCCATGGCTCTCCCCATACTAAAAGACCCGCTTCTGGGGCTGAGGAGTCCCAGAATCCCATGATGTCGTGACAAAGTTGTGTATCATCCCAGCCATCGCCTGCCTGGATCATATTGTCACGCATCTGGGGTAGAGGAAAAAATCTATCCAGGGATGATGTGGCACAGTCCTTTGAAGCTTAGTGGGACGGAGGCTCAGTGGAATTTCAGATTTTCTGGATAAAGCTTTTTCTGGCGGCCCAGCACTAACAAATAGCGAGATCGCATCGTCATCCATTCTATCCAACGGCCAGCCTATTGATTGCAGATTGTGGCCAAAGGCGCGGAAAACATTGACCTTAGTCAGCGCCATGAGATGGTCGGAGGTAGGAGATCCCAACATATAACTTTGATAGAATTGACTGAGGAGTCGTTGCACGACGTCTGGGGGGACGCATCGAAGAAGATTTTGCTTTTGGTCCATAATGACATTGCACTTGGAAGGGGCTATGCTGGCTGGGGTTGTAGACAATGTGACGCTTTTTGAATGGACGTCCTTGTCAGCTAATAATCGCTGCCTTCTCCCTATGTCCAATTAGCCGGGATAATTCCATAATATATTGGTCACATACGAAACGCTCTCTGGTTGATTCGGTTCTGCCTTCGTCGACGCTCGGCAGTGTCTGTGAGTCCAGCCCAGTCGTCCGCTGGTTGAACATCTACACCGGAAGCCCGAACTGGCTGTGTCATATCAGACGCTATTGGTTGGACCGTTTTCTTAAGGCTCTGGAAGGTTGGTGCTTTGGCTTTGCCAGGGAGAAGAGTGAAGCGAGCCTCCCTGGCTTATCTCCATGTGATCCGTTGAGGAGGGTCTCCACCAATGATATTTGTTTCTTGGCGTGAACGCGGAGTTAAGAGATCACCGAACTTCAATCCGAGGGACACTTCAACCGAGTCTACGTATTAAACCAGGGCGCTCTACGGCAAATTTGAGAACACAGGCAGAATGAGATAGGTCGACGAATAGACGGAGAACGCAGTGGGCGCCCACTGAGAGCTCAGTAGGCCGCGCTAAAATAGTTGGGTAGGCTATGTACCTAAAAACCTTTTAAAAACCACGTGACCTTTGAAATGTTTCGTAACTAGGGAAATTATATTCCGAATTAAAATGTTTGTATTTATAAATTTCGTACCCGAAACTACCTTCCCTTATATACCTTTATATTCTCCTTAGTAATGTTACAGACCCCACCCCTGGGATGCTAAAAATGGACACGCCTGAACCAATGGATTCTGCAACAAGGCGGTGTCGAGGAATCTTGCTTACAACAAGCAGGAGCGGACTCGGGCAATAATACCTGAGGTCACGTGATATCATTGCTAGGGCTATGATCGGAATATAGCCTAGGATATGAAGGACTAGATATATAAGGACGCTTATTCACCTACATATATTTAGTTCTTCGCGTTGATTTACATATTATTACTTACAGTTATATTTGAGCTTGACTATCGACTATCTTTAGTAACGTGATAACCTCACGGTATAATGTTATAGACCCTACCCCTGGGATGCTAAAAATGGACACGCCTGAACCAATGGATTCTGCAACAAGGCGGTGTCGAGAGATCTTGCTTACAACAAGTAGGAACGGACTTAGGTAGTAACACCTAAGGTCACGTGATATTATAGCTAGGGCTATAATCGGAACATAGCCTAGGATATGAACCGAGTATATCCTAGGATATAAAGGACTAGATATATAAGGACACTTATTCACCTATATATATTTAGTTCTTCGCGTTAATTTATATATTATTACTACGAGCTATATTTGTTACTTATAAATTAATCTTAATAATCGACTATCTTTAAGAGACGTAATACCCTTACGGTATAATATAAGGATATACTCTAACTAGGAGGAATACTTAGTAGTTATTATATAACTACTTAGTCGACTAACTAGGCGCTCTTTAACTATATACGTCTTCGGTCTACTCTATAGGTCCGAGCCTATATAAGGCTAGAGTAGGTAATAGTACGATTACGAGATAGATCGTCGGAGATTACGAGAGAGGTACGTTACGATAATATATATATTACGTTAACTAGTTAGTAGCGCGTAATATAATTAACGCCCTATCTATTAAACCGTAATTCAAGTATTATAGCTCTAGTAGATAGTTATAATAAGAAGGTACTAGTACTACTGACTACCTAGTTATAGGTACTAGACCCGGACTCGGACGATAAGCGAGACGAATAGATCGCCTAGCTTAAGAAAAGTATTAAGATCCTTATAGAATAACTAAACGCTTTCGGGGCTAATACTAAAGATTACCTCGAATAGCTTAATACGTAAGTTATAGTACTAGTACTACTAGACGCTACTAATATAACTCTTATACTTTCTAAAGTAGAACTATTTAATAGAGACCGTACTAAGTTATAGGGGTTCCTAATATAGATAGATATATATATCTATATAAATAAAGGGAAGCTACCTATAGAATCTAGTAAGGTAATTTTTATATTAACTTACCTTAAGAGGAAGGCCTAGAAGTAGATCGAGCTATATATAAGAGAATATTATAAGAAAGATAGAAGCGAGTAGGTAGGAACTACTATAACGATATTCTCCTACTATACCTAGTTTAAAAAATATCTCGAGAAGATATTTAGCGATATTAATATAAAGAAAGCCGCTAAACGAAAACTAAGAAAACTACGATAAGTTAATTCGACCTTAGCCTATATAGCCGAATTTATATAGTACGTAGTAGTACTAGGATAGGATAACTACGCGCTAATTCTATACTATAATAATAGACTTAAATTATACGTTAAAGATAAACTAGTATAAATAGACCCTATCGAGAACTTAAATAAATTAATCGAAGCTACTATTAGGGTCGATAATCGATATTATAACTAATAAGCGTAGAAACGAGATATCGATATATAGAGATAAGGTCGGAGTAGACTAAGTTACTAATAGTTATATAGGCTAAAGAGGGAAGATCCCTATAGACTACGACTAATAGAGCTCGACGTAGTAAGACTTCTAAGTAGAGAGTAAGTAGAAAGGAAAGAGAAAAACCTATACTTTAAATATAGAAAACTAGGATACCGTATTAAGGACTACTAAGAATAGCGTAGATAGGGTAATAAGCCGAAAGAGAATTAGTATTAAGGCTAGAAGAGGACCTAGTAGCTAAGAGCGATATCCGATAATCGAGGCGGATACGATACTATAGGTATCCGAGTATAGGAACTCTAAGCTACGAGTAATAAAGATTAGAGATAGTAGTAGATTACTATCTAGGACTACGAGTAGAGTTAGGAAGAGTTTCGATCTATAACCCGATACGAATAACTCTTTAAGAAGTTAACGCCGGAGTAATAAGAAAGAATACTTTAAAGTAGGACTAGCCTAGATCCTAGTAAGATATAGGAAATCGTAGAACTAGCACGAGAGAATACCTAATAGGCGTAGGCTAAATAATAGATTAAGTAAATACTTAATAAGAATATCGAGGTACCTAAGATATAGGTTACTATAACGCTATAAGATCTAGACTTTAACTAGCTATTTAGATACTTAGAACCTATAACGCTACGACGAGTAATAAAGAGAAAACTAAGATAACAAATACTGCTAGAGCGAGAAGAAGCCCTTATAAGGGAAGAGATAAAGGAACAATTCCTATCTATTAAAGAGGATAGTGTAGAGAGCTAAAGCTAAGCTTAATATCTTACTACGAAGGATAGTAGCCCTATAGATAGTATGATCTGGTGTATGCAGATATCTATATACGGGAGTTTCTGCTAGTAGTTACCGCCTTTCAGATACTATATCTACTATAAACCTTACTAGTTTCTAATATCATGCAACTTCCACCTAACGTCCGGACCACAATAGTAAGAGGGAAGAGATTAAGGAGTATAAATAGATATTAAAATCTCTAACGTACTCTACGCTACTAGAAATCCCGGAGATACCTTAGGAATTCCCCGTAACTACTAATAAAATAAGCGAAGAAGACGATATAAGTCTTAAAGAGTTCAAGCTATAAGTATAGCGAATACTTAACGAAGAAAGTAAGGATAATATTAGGTAAGTAGCCTTAGATAGCGTCGCTAGTATTAGAGATAAGATTAAAAACCTACGATAGATAGCCGATAAACTTATAGCGCGTTATCTAAAGGGATACCTATATACTAACCCTAAATATATATATATCGGGTATACTTAATACCTAAAGTACCGCGAACAAGCGATAATAGGGTATTACGATAATAACTACGGGATCTATATATAGGGAAAACTCGACTTAGGTATCGAACCTAAACCCTATATATAGATAAGCAAGCTATAATAGAAAGGAGAATTTATAGGACTCTAGATAGGAAACCGGAGGATAAAAATATAGTAGACAACTATCTCTTGGCAGAATCGAATTCTTACGATATCTCGCTATCCAGAGGTCCTAGGATCTCCAGACCTAGTTCAAAATATACATAACTTCGCGCTCTATCGTTTGATACCGGCATTGACCCTGTATCAGCGATAGCAGCGGTAGGCGTGGCCGAAATAGGGATTTTGCACCCCGACCGGGCGCGGAATTTTCGCGAACCACGGAACGTATAAACTTAATTCTAACGGAATAGTAACACGCGAACTACTAAATAGCAAGCAACTAATAAGCTCTCGATTAATAACTACTCTTCGATAGAGGAAATCGCCTATATCGCGAGAAATATCTACTAATACGCCTAAACTAACAACTATGCCGACCCTATTATTCGCGGCTTTATCCTCTCTATCGAGCGTTACGCGTTGAAAGCACGCGAAAATAACACTTAGGGGATAGCCGTAGTCCTCGCTGCTATCGCCTTAATCGATAAGGGCTAGAAAGACCTTACTACCCGAATTACCCGTATTAAATTAACTACTAGCACTATATCCTTCTCCTAGTAGTCCTCGGTAGTAGCGTAGCGTACCTTCTATACCTAGGGCTAGCAGCGATTAGCCGCGGCGGCTAGTCCTTCCTCGGGAGATAGCTCTTAATTAGGATACTCCTCGGTCGGCGTCTCGCTAGTAGAACTCGCGGAGAACCGCTAGGTAATTATTAAAATCAAAGACGACGCTATATAGGCACGTCTTCGGTCGAAAATAGAGTAGGATATCGTGAAGCTAGCGGATAAGAAGAAGATAGAGGTCGCACGGCGTATAGATAGTAGCGCGCTTATAGGTTGTCGCCTCGTCGCTGCCTATAAGCTTCCTTCTAGTAACGTAGCTATTATAGCTAAGACTACGGCGTCTATAGAGGTGCTAAGGAAGCAGGAATACTCGTAGTAGCTTCGAGGCTTTAGTAAAGATACTTAGGTTTAACAGCCAACGTAGGGAATTATTATACAAGGTATTCTAATTACTAATTTCGGTAACTTCTCCGACTCCGCTAGGATCTTCGCGGTAGTAGAGAACCTACTCTGTTAGAATCTAGCGTAGGTAGATAGTAGTAATAGTGAATAGCTAAGGGTAGTATACCTTAGCTAGCTTACTAAGCTATATATAAAGAAGAAGGAAGGTTCTTTAGTTATCGAGCTATTATTACCGGTCGCTATAAACTATGTAATCGCTACTAGTACTACCTAGGAGTATCGGTGCTACTATACGACCTATTTCTACCGAGAGGGAAGGTCGAGATTCTATCGAAAGTACTAGAAACCTAGGTATATTTAG